TGTTGTAGCTTGCTTTGAGCGGCGATTAAAAGTTGAGTTTATGATTGCTGAGCAACCAAGCACCTCAATTTTCAATCCATTTATGTGTTCGCTTAACTCTTTTGCAGTGCATTGTTGGTCCAATCGACCAACGTAAAAAACTTTTCTTTTTGGCGAAGGTTTCATCGCTTTCAAATTTGTTTGTTTATCAGTTTGGGTGCCTATAACTGTTTTCATATTTGCTATGTTAGTGTTGTGTGTTTTTTTCTTTGTTTTCAACATGTTGATGTTCGCCACGTGTTGAACATTCGCCACGTGTTGAACATTCGCCACGTGTTGAACATTTGCCACGTGTTGAACATTCGCCACGTGTTGAACATTCGCCACGTGTTGAACATTTGAGCTCTTTTTAATTTTACGTTTTACAATCTCTGACCAGTCAGATTGCTTGCTCGATTCGGTCTTGCAATCGGATTGCTGCTTTCTTTCTACTTTTGGCCTATTGTTAATAGCCGCATCATTTACTATTTCTCGGAAGATGTTTCTTTCTTCAATAAATAGTTCTTCTAATTTTTTTAACTTTTCGTCAAGAATTGACTCAAATTTAGCTTTTTTTGAGCTTGGAATTTTAAAAAGGTTGAGAGCAGCATACTGAGGCAATTTGCTTTCAATTTTGTTGCTCAGAATTGTTTTTATTGTTAGTATTAAATCACTAACCTTGTCCTTTTTAGAGTTTCCAGAACTGTTTGGCTTTATTTTATCATCTTTTTCTAGATTTAATGCATCTAGATCGCTGGTAAGTATTTTTTTTGCTATTCTAATATCTTCACAATTGTAGAAATCCATTATTTCGTAAATGAATTCCGCATCGTCAATTTTGTCAGAATTATTAAATAAATAACACAATAACTCGTTAATGCAAACCGCTCGCGACATCGTACCGGAAACATGTATGTATGTATGTATGTATGTATGTATGTATGTATGTATGTATGTATGTATGTATGTATGTATGTATGTATGTATGTATGTATGTATGTATGTATGTATGTATGTATGTATGTATGTATGTATGTATGTATGTATGTATGTATGTATGTATGTATGTATGTATGCATGTATGTA